TCTGTTGCTCATTTTACTTCTTGGTTATTAATCTCTCTCCTTCATCCCTTTTTCTCCAGTGCCTCTTCCCTGACCCTTGAATCTGGAGCAGCTTCAGAGATTCAAATTCAAATTGTGGCCAGGAAATACCCTGGCTCTAAGCAAGACACTTCTTGCTTACCAGTGGTTTAAGTCCGACATCAGCAAACACAGCTTACTGGCCAAACCTTGCCCAGTGCTCTTTTCTGCAAATAAAGTTTTGTTGGAACACAGCCATGGTCATTTATTTACATTTTTAAAATTTATTTATTTATTTGAAGGGCATGATTACAGAGAGAGAGAGCAAGAGCAAGGTCTTCCATCTGTTGGTTCACTCTCCAAATGGCTGCAACAGCCAGAGCTGTGCCAATCTGAAGCCAGAAGCCAGGAACTTCCTCTGGGTCTCCCTTGTGGGTGCAGGGGCCCACGTGGGATGCTGGTGCCGCAGGTGGCGGCTTTACCCGCTCCACCACAGCATCTGCACCTGTTTATGTATTGTTTATGGCTATTCTTTCACTACTGGGATAAGCTGAATAGCTGGAATGAAAGTCATACAGCGTGCAAAACCAATAGTTATTATTGGAGCAGGTGTTGTAGAGCAGGCTTCTCCAAGCCACCACTTATGACACCAGCATCCCATGTTGGAGAGTGCATTTAAGTCCTGGCTACTCCCCTTCCAGCCCAGCTTCCTGCTAATGGCCTAGGGAGGAGGTGGAAGATGGTCCAAGTACTTAGGCCTCCGCCACCATGTGGGAGACCCAGATGGAGTTCCTGGCTCTTGGCCCAGACCTGGGTATAGTGGCCATTTGGGGAAAGAAACAGTGGATAGAAGATACTCTCTCTCTCTCTCTCTCTCCCACTCCCACTCTCATTCTGCCTCTCTTCCCCTCTCTCTGTCACTCTGCCTTTTGAATAAGTAAATCTTAAAAAAAATTATCTGACCTTTAAAAATTGCCAAACTCTGACTGAAGCAATAAAGAGATTTAATTATCTCAAGGGTTGCAGTCTCTTTTTTCTGTTACTATAATGCAGTACCTGAGGCAAACTAACTTTGTAAAGCAAAGAGGTTTATTTAGCTCATTGTTCGGAGATCCAAGGGCATGAAGCCAGCATGGGCTCAGCTCTGGTGGGGCCTTCATGGTGGATGGCAGGAGAGCATGACAGAGAGAAAGAGGGGTCACAGTGCCCAGCAGGAGGCTGGGGCCCACCAGTACCTGTCGGGGGCATACCTCCCACGGACCTGAGGCCCTCCCACCACCAACAACCTGAGGACCAAGCCTTTCACCCACAAGCCTTGGGGGAACTGCCATAGCCAAAGCACCGAGTGACAGAGTTTGGAGACGGGACTGACATGCTTACCCAGCCGGTCTCCAGTGTCATGGAGGACTCCACCACCCTTGCAATGTTGGCTTTTCTTCCTCAGCTTCTAAGCGCACTTACAAGATGACTGCCAGGCTTCCAGAGGTCCTGTCTTGGTTCAAAGCAGGCAGCAGCAGCCAGGAGGCCATCCTCGCACAGCTGTCCCTTTCCTAAGAAGCAAGGACATCCCAGCAGCCCCTTGGGGCTCATGGGCCGGAACTAGGTCGTGTGGCCACTTCAAGGCGCAGTGGAGTCTGGGAAAGCAAGCATCTGGGAAAAGAGTTCCCTAGTCACAAACAGGGGTTAGTGAGGGGAAGGAGTGCTGTGCAAATAACATTGTCTCCCACACGCCCAATAAGGGGAAAGAGAAAATATCTATTTGTTGACCACCTACTATGTGCTAAGTGTTGAGTATGTGCTTGACATCCTCAGCTCATTTAATCCTCACCCTGAGTGACTGTCCAAGGAGACATGGCAGACAAGGGTGGGGCTGGATCTCCCAGCCTCTGCTCAGGCTCCTCCTCCCCGTGTTCTCCTGACATCCCCCCCCCCCCGCCCCCGGGAGTGTGGGAGATGAGAAAGCACTTTCATGCATGCGAGGAGGGGAGGGGAGACCAGAGAGAGTGAGAGCCAAGACCCTCTCGCCTCACCACCAGCTGGCCCCATGAGACACATCTAGCTTACTTTGCAGGGGGATTGAAAAGGGTCAAAAAAAAATTAAATGAAAAGCTTAAAAATTTCTGAAATCCATGTGTAGTTTTTTTCATAACTGGCATTTTGCATGAACTTTTTGAAGACCTCTTGTATTTCATTTCCACCATCAAAAAGCAGGGAGTGTGTTAGTACTATAGAGAATGCTACAATTCAGGTAACTGACAGGGGTGGGGCTGGGATGAGGGCTGTCCATTCACTCAGGCATGGATTTCCCGGTGATGCCCAGACCCTACTCTGTGCTAGGCACTGTGAAATCACACTCGCTCTAGTTTTCATTCCAAGAGCCGTGAACTTTCCAAACCTTCTAGGATTTTAGCTGCATTTTAGAGAAAGAGTTCAGAAAGGTTCCAGGGCTCATCCCAGGTCATAAAGTCTATGAGGCAGAGCAAGCCTTGAACCCAGCACCCTGGTCCTTCCCAGGTTTTCTCACCAAGCTCTCTCCCTCCTACTCTTTTGCTTGTACTTTCTGGACCCCCTTGATGTCCCCCTCGCTGCAGCTTTGGAGTCCCTGTTGTCTGGGATACTCACTGAGGCACCTACTTTAAAGCCATCTTTATTTCTTGCTTTGACATCGAGGTGGTTCATGGGGCTAAGTCCTGCTCTGTTGATGAGATGGTAAGTTCTGGAAGAACAGGAGGCCTTGCTCTGCTGTGGACTTTGAAGCCCTGAGTTCTTGTTTAACCCCACTGCTGACTGGCTGAGCCTTTTACTCTCCGCTATACTTTGCATGTGACCCCCTCCCCCCACACAGTTCATGTGTGGGAAACTTAATCCCAGCTGAGTAGAGGACCCTTACGAAGTGATTAGGTTGTGACAGCTCTGCTCTCGGAACTGGATGAATGCTGTGGTTGGAGTGGTTCCTGATGGAAAGATGGCACTAGTGGCTCACTAGGTTAATCCTCTGCCTGCGGCGCCAGCATACCATATGGGCACCAGGTTCTAGTCCCAGTTGCTCCTCTTCCAGGCCAGCTCTCTGCTGTGGCCTGGGAGTGCAGTGGAGGATGGCCCAAGTGCTTGAGCCCTGCACCTGCATGGAAGACCAGGAAGAAGCACCTGGCTCCTGGCTTCGGATTGGTGCAGTGCCAGCCGTAGCGGCCATTAGGGGAGTGAACCAACGGAAGGAAGACCTTTCTCTCTATCTCTCTCTCTCACTGTCTATAATTCTACCTGTCAAATAAATAAATAGAAAAAAAAAAAAGAGGCACTGAGCCCCCAACCTTCATGCATGTGCATGTGTGTGTGCTCGTGTGTGCTCTCTCGTCCCACGGTCGGGTGACATGCAGAGACCCCTTGATCTTGGACTGCACAGCCTCCAAAGCTAAGAACCTGATCTCTGTGTCCTATAAATTACCCAGTCTCAATTATTGTCTTATAATAGCAGACAAAAAAAAAAAAAAAAACATCCTGTATTCTCCCGGTCTATGTGATTGCCTGGGGGAGCTGCTTAGCCAAGCGTGGTAAATGGGTTTCATCTCTCAGGCCAGTCCCCACTTGCAAATCACTTTCATGGAGCGTCAGAGAATGTGTGCTGTGTGTTTCTGTTCTGTGAAGTTTCAGACTAGAAATAACAGTCCACGGTGTTAGAAATCTGTGGGTTCTAGTCCCGGTCGGGGCGCCGGATTCTGTCCCGGTTGCCCCTCTTCCAGGCCAGCCCTCTGTTGTGGCCAGGGAATGCAGTGGAGGATGGCCCAGGTGCTTGGGCCCTGCCACCCCATGGGAGACCAGGAAAAACACCTGGCTCCTGGCTCCTGCCATCGGATCGGCGTGGTGCGCCGGCCGCAGCGTGCCGGCCACGGCGGCCATTGGAGGGTGAACCAACGGCAAAGGAAGACCTTTCTCTCTGTCTCTCTCTCTCACTGTCCACTCTGCCTGTCAAAAAAAAAACAAAAACAAAAAAAACAAAACAAAACAAAAAAACAGTCCACAGTGTTAGAAATCCGGACAACGATCGCCTGGTGGGTGGGAGGACATGGACTGGAAGGGGCATGAGGGGACTTTCTGTGCTGGTTAAAGTTGAATACAGTTGTTCATTTTTACCCAACTTACATCTAAGCTCTGTACATGCTCTTATGAAGTATGCCTCAATTTTTAAAAAGTGTTTTAAAAGGGAAAAGGGATTCACATCATGTTCCATTCAGCAGCCAAGAATGCTATGATGGATTAGTGATGTCTGCCACTGGCAAGGGAAAAGGTGAGGGATGTCAACATAAGTACCACGTTTGCCATTCCTGTGCTTGACCGATTGTCCCCTGGATTTCTGCACCACTTATGTGGTGGTGGTAACTCAGCCCATGCTATAGGATGACGATGAGGTGCAGACTCTGTAGACAGTGTAAATCCTTAGCCAAGTGTATGTAAGATGTTATGATTCACACTGGCTCCCCATGCTGTCAGGCACAGTGGGACCCATTTTGGCAGCTAGGGTCCAAGAAGAGTCTCGCTGGCTGAAATGCAATGCAGCAGAGCCAGATATCCTCAAAATGCTGTGCTCCCCATGAACATGGATGTGGTTTGTCTGTCCCATTATTCATCTTACAAACACTTGAGTGCTGACGTGGGTGTGCACACTGCTTTCCCATGCTTTCCCATTGCAGTCCAGGGCCATCCTTAAGGGTACTAACACCATTGCCACAGGCCTTTATCCTTCTCTAATGCTTTATCTCAAGATGGGGGTCTGGAGTTTGTCATTCCTCCTTCTCCTTCCAACTGCAAATCTGCAGGGGCCTTTCAGAGCGTCACTCCATGGGCTCTTGGTTTATGTTTTGTTAGCTGTGGCATCTGTTTTTGGTGCCTTCTAGCACCTTCCGGGACTTTCTGGATTACTGCTGAGGATTGTGCTAGCTCGCCTGTGTCACTGGGGGGGCTCAGGGCTCAGCAGCTGTGCTGTTTCCTGACTGATGTCCCTACAGAGGGAGCAGGACAGAGCCTGGCAACCGTACCTCTACTTCCGAAGTCAGCCAGAGAGCCAGACCCAGCGACAAATCCAGCCTGGGTATTCAGCCAGGAGATACCTCCAAGACCTCTTGCGAACATGGCCGCCTGACACAATGTACAAGCTCCAGTGTGCAGGTCAGTGGGGAAATGGGTGAGGGGCACCCTGAGCCATCCTACCGTGCGTTCTGGTATGAGAGGGTGTCTCCCACCAAGGACTGAAACATCAGGATTTCAGACCCAGGTTGGGGTTAAAGTGTGGTCTCCAGGCTTGGTCACCTGGTAAGCCTCTCTCGTGGTTCTAGCCCTTTTCTCACCCTCACACTTGCACAGGAGAACAACCCAACGTCTTGCCTCCACTCCTGCCCTTCAGACTCCACACCCCGAGCCAGAACATTCTTCCCAGCCTTCCCATGCCATCCCTGGAAGGGCCCAGGGCTCTTCCAGCTCAGCCCCCACCTTCTATGAGACGAGGGAAATGAAGCCTCATGTCCAAGGTCATTCAGCCAAAAGCAGACCTGGGACCTGAAGCCAGATGCTTCCCACACTGCCAGCCCCACATCCTCCCAGCATTCCCTAGCTCCCAATCCGGGGTGATCTCAGGTCTTTCAGGACTTAACATTTCCTCTTAAGGCCTGTGACTCTGCAGCACAGTCCCTGTGGGAGTGGGCCGGACACCCCTCTACTATAGAGAGACCCCAAATGCTCTCTGCAAAGGTTTGAAAATGAAAACAGGAAGTGGCTGGGAGTTAGGGTTGCCAGATTTAGCACAGGTACACCCACACCCACACAGTCACACTTGCAATATTTGGAACATACTTCTACTGAAAAAGTATTCTTTGTTGACATGGAATTCAAATGTAACTGGGCATCCTGTGTTTTATTTGGCAAACCTACTGGGGATGAGAGCGGGGAGCCGTAGGAATTTGCCAGAGCCCACTCGGTTGTTTGCCATTTCTTCAGCACCAACAAACTGGTAGGACCAGAGGAAACCAAACAGTCCTTCCCTGGTAACTGGTGACTTAAAACAAAATGAGAGAGATATGGGCTTATGCTGTAGTCAGTTTCAAGTTCATGGCGGTCCCACAGCCATAGGCAGTTCCATTTCTGTAAACCATGTGAGGATGAGCCTCTTAAACAAATACGTGTTTGTCTTGGGTGTGACAGAGGGTGAATCTGACCACCGCCCAGTAGGTGGGACCCAACATCTTCAACAATGAATGCCCTTACTAACATCACTAAGACTCAGAGCTCCCTGTGGGACACGTACGGCCCCTCCGCAGGAAGCACCTTTCCAAAACGTGTGGTTTAAGCAGACACATGTGCCATGCATTCTCAGGCCCCTGGCCATCTTCCTCTCCACAGCCCCTCTTGAAGGGAGGCCCCCTAGCTGGAGGCACAGCAGTGACACTGCGGTGAGAGAGCCTGGCCCAGGGGCCCTGGCTTCCCTCTCCCCCACATCTCGGCGCTCACCACTTTGTGACACTAGGATGTTCTGCAGCCCTCCTTCCACCCCGTGACAAGTCCTCCCCGCCCATCAAGCCCACATCGTGGACAGAGGCTTCTCTGACGATCCCAGTCAACACTGAGCTCCTCACATGTTGGCCTGGTATCACAGACACTCAGGGCCACCACAGGTGAGCATGGAGCTTGGTCTCCATGTGAGTGCCTTTTAAAGGGGCTCATGTCTGGTTCCTCGGTATCTGCCCTATGGCAGTATCAACTGGGGTTGTCAGAGGGGCCCATGAGTAAACCCTCAACAAATATCTGGAGAATGGCTTGATTGAGAGGCTGTTGATGAGAGCCCACCAAAGCAAGCAGGATATACCCACTGTCACTGATGGCTCCTTGTGGGGCTGGGTGGGCCTCTCACCCTACCCCAAGGAAGCACCCATGTGTCTTCCTCCAGGGAGACCCGCTTCTGGGGATTGATTAAGTAAGAGCAGCAGGCCGGCGCTGTGGCTCACTTGGCTAATCCTCCACCTGCGGTGCCAGCACCCCGGGTTCTAGTCCCGGTTGGGGCGCCAGATTCTGTCCCAATTGCTCCTCTTCCAGTCCAGCTCTCTGCTGTGGACTGGGAAGACAGTGGAGGATGGCCCAGGACCTTGGACATGGGAGACCAGGAGGAAGCATCTGGCTCCTGGCTTCGGATGGGCGCAACGTACCGGCCGTAGCAGCCATTTGGGGGGTGAACCAACGGAAGGAAGACATATCTCTCTCTCTCTCTCTCTCTCTAACTCTGCCTGTCAAAAAAAAAGAAAAGAAAAGAAAAAGAAGAAGTAAGAGCAGCATACATGTGGCACAGACCAGAAGCACCCAAGAGAGTAGATGGAGAAGCCTCTCTGGGTTCTATTTGATTATCATCCCTCCTATCTTCTGATTCTCTCTCTCTCAGATTTTATTTATTTATTTGAGAGGTAGAGTTACAGACAGAGGGAGAAAGAGACAGAAAGGCCTTCCATCTGCTGGTTGACCCCCCCAAAATGGCCACAATAACCAGAGCTGGGCCAACCTGAAGCCAGGAACCAGGTCACCCACGTGGGTGCAGGGGCCCAAGGACTACGACTGTCTTCTACTGCTTTCCCAGGCCCTAGCAGAGAGCTGGATCAGAAGAGGAGCATCCAGGCTCAAACTGGTGCCCATATGGAATACTGGCAACACAGCTGGAGGCTTAGCCTACAATGCCACAGCACCAGCCCCCGATTGTCTCTCTTAATGGGCATTGTCTAAGGTCAAGGCCATTGCAAGTGGGGAGCCTTGTAGTTATCTTCAACTCTAGATTGGCGACCTCTATTTCTCCCAATAACTCCTGACCTACTCCATCAGGATACATCGAGGATTCTGTGCTGCTGCCGGACAGGCAACCTAATGGACCAAAGAACTTCAGACCACAACAAGACCTTTCAGGTACAACCCCAAAGTACCATCTCCCGCCTATCTTCCCTCCACTTTGGAGTCAACAAGGAAGATCTTTTGAACAAGGTACATGTTCATCTTATGGCAAGTTCTCAAATATTTGCATTTTGGGGGGAAGATTGACTTATTTATTTGAAAGGCAGAGTGACAGAGAGGTAGACAAGAGAGAGTTTTTCCATTCACCAATTCACTCCCCAAATGGCCGTAGCCAACACTGGGCCGGGCAGGAGCCAGGAACCTTGAATGACACGTGGATCTCTCATGTGAGTGGCAGAAACCCAAGCTCTTGGACCGTCATCAGCTGCCTTCTCAGGCACCTCAACAGGAAGCTGGAGGGGAAGCAGACTCAAAGCAACACTGCGCATACCAAGCAGTAGTTAACCAGCTGTGCCACCACACTTGCCCCAATGTTTGGATTTTTTTTTAAAGATTTATTTTATTTATTTGAAAGACAGAGTTACAGAGAGAGAGGTAGAGACAGAGAGAGAGAGGTTTTCCATCCGATGGTTCACTCCCCAGATGGCTGCAACGGCTGGAGCTGTGCAGACTCAAAGCCAGGAGCCAAGAGCTACCTCCAGGTCCTCCATGTGGGTACAGGGGCCCAAGCACTTGGGCCATCTTCCACTGCTTTCCCAGGCCATAGCAGAGAGCTGGATCGAAAGTGGAGCAGCTGGGACTAGAACCGGCGCCGACGTGGGATGCTGACGCTTCAGGCCAGAGCTTTAACTTGCAGTGCCACAGTGCCGGCCCCGGTGTTTGGATTTTTAACATCTTAGAATGGAGTTTCCCAAAATAAGGTCTAGCAATTCTGAATTTCATTTCTTCATCTGTAGGATGAGAGGTTGGTTAGTTTAACACTGCCCAATAGTACTTTCTGCTGGGATGGAATATTTTATATGTGCTGTCCAACGTAGTAGCAATTAGCTGCACGTGCCTTTTGAACACTGGAAATGTAGCTTGTGCAACTGAGAAATTGAGATTTTATATTTTATTTAATCTTAATTAACTTCCATCCAAGTCACCACATGGGGCTAATGGCTACTCCAGAGGAGAGGCTAGCTCTGATGTTAGATGATTTCCTAGGTCTGTTCCTCTCTAGTATTTTCAATCCTGTGATTTTTGTGGCAATATTATGTGAAAAATTTTCTGGCTTTGGAGCCAGAAATCTGTATTGCAATGGCTATTGTCTCACTTACTAAATGTAAGATCTTGAACACGTCGTTTAAGCGGCTTTGAGCTTCCGTAATGGGAACATTGAGACCTACCTCGTTAGTGCATGGAGAAGTATTGTGAAGTGTCTGTCAGTTGGCGAATACCTTGGGGATTTGTGTCTGTTCATATCATTCTTGGGAATTTGCAGCATTAGAAAGCCAGAAGTGGCTTTGATAAGAGAGACTGGGAAAAGTGCCGGGGTAGCAGTACTGGGCAAAGCCTAGTGCATCAGCTGGTGGCCGAGTTCTAGAGAAAAGAACAAGAGCTCAATAAAGTACAGAGGCAATCTTCGGAAACTGACAAAGAATTTTCCAGAAGCTAGGATAGTGCCTGACCGTGCCCAGTTCTTGGGGGAAGGGCCTGGTCAGAATAAGTAGAGGCTCTGGTATACTGAAGGCATGGAGGAGGACATGCGGGGCCTCAGAGCCTGAAGCCAGCAAACGCTCCAGCCACACACCCCTGTGGTCTTGACTGTGGCACTGGGGCCTTCTGGTCCTAACCTGACCCATGTGAAGTTTGTCTACATGAAGGATGCTAGGCGGGCGGCTGTACTTCTCTTTGTCCACTAACACCCCAGTCTATGCATCAGTCCTTTGCCAGCATGGGTCAGCAGCCCCTGAAGCCAGTTGATGCTGGGACCCAGAAGAGATCAAGCGACCTCACTGTGTTTTGCCCCCAGGGGGAACCTGCTGCCCTTTCTCAGGCGGTACCCTATCTCTCCATTGCCTTATCCTCTCTCTCTGTCTCCAGTAATATCCTTAGAGTCTGATGCTTTAGGATCCCGAAGCACTACACTGGCTTGCACTGCTTACGTTTCTGGCGGTGGATGAACTCTGCCTGCCTAAGGGACCCAGTGGCCGTATACCAAGGTCCCCATCAGGCAGGAAACAGAGGCAGTATAGGGATGTGATGCAGCCTGTGACTATCAGATCCTGAGTTAGGTGACCTCTCTGGCTCCAGTTTCCTTGTCTATAAAAATGACCTGGGCCAGCACTGTGGTGTAGTGAGTTAAGCTGCCATCCGCAGTGCTGCTATCCCCTCTGGGTACCGGTTCGAGTCCCAGCTGCTCCACTTGTGACACAGCTCCCTGATAATGTGCCTGGGAAAGCAGCGTAGGATGGCCCAAGTCCTTGGGTCTCTGTACCCAAGTAGGAGACCCAGAAGAAGCTCCTGGCTCCTGGCTTTGGATCAGCCCAATTCCGGCTATTGTGGCTATTTGGGGAATGAACCAATGGATGGAAGCTCTCTTTGTGTGTCTCTCCTCCTTCCCCTCCCCTCCCCTCCCCTCTCCTCCCTCTCTCCTTCTCCCTCCCCCCTCCCTCCCCTTCCCCATCTTCCTCTCCCTCTCCCTCTCCCTCTCTCATCTCTGCCTTTCAAATAAAGAAAAATAAATCTTAAAAAAAAAAAAAATAGAAGTGACTCTACACACCCTTACCTCAGGGGTTGTATGTAGGAGTAAAACGGGATAATGTGCCGTAGCTGGCACATAGTAAGTGCTCAATAAATGTTAATTACAGCCCTCCTTAGCTTGTGGTTTACAAGCATAATTACTAATTAATTGCAATGCCCAATTGTCCATGATCGCAGGGGCCAAAGAGATAAAGTTTTAAAGAAGTACAAGGAGTTGAACCAAGAGGCTGTAACTTGAACACTGTCTGGTTTGCATTGGTCTCAACTTTATAGCCCCTTGGCGTCCCTGTGCCAGATACTTTATCTGGAGAAGTAGCAAAGAGTCCCGGCTGCAAATCCCAGATGCCCCAGCAATGTGATATTGGCCAAGTCACTTCCGTTCCCCGCACCCTCGGTTTGCACACCTGTGAAATGTCAGTAACGGGATTGGCATTCCTTCCTCCTTGGGTTGTGTTGTGAAAAATCGCAGGAGTTGAAGATGGTTTGAAAAAAACGAACTCTAAATTGCTACCCTGTACACATTATTTGGATGGTCTGATCCTTATTTGAGATATAAACAGACTACGTTTTATGGTTCCCTTCCCACAAACCTGTTTCTACTAAGGATGAACAAATGAGCCCAGTGATATTTATTGTGGGAAAAAAAAAAATCCTCATTCCCTTCACATAGATGGAGCAGTCAGTCTCGCCTGGGATAGAGCCAAGGACAAGACTGCTTCCCTACACCCCACCCCCCACCCCCACCCCCACCCTGCTTGTACCGCCCCCAGGAGGAGGAGGCCAGTGGCCATTTAGCTAGAGTTTCCCTTCCGCCAGCCTCAGAGATGCATTTGGCTCCGGGTGACTCTGATGAGGAAGGGTGGGAGGAAGGGTGGAGCTGGGGTCTGGTTTGACCTCAAGGGATCATTCTGTAATACCCCAAAAGGTCTTTAGTGCCCCATGGGGTGTGGCATTGAGGCCCTCCTGAGGGCAGGCCCAGTGTAGCCCAGGGGCCAACTCAGGTGAGGAGGGGGGGGCCAGGAGGTGGAGGAGGAAGGGCTGGGGGGAAGTGGGAGCCCAACGCGCGAGCACTTTATGCCTAGGCAGGTGTGATCAAGAGGGCAAAGGGGGCAGAGAAGGCTGGCTGAGGGCGGGGTGGGAGGGGGGAGCTCCCGCAATTCTGGGGCCCTCAAGCGCCTCCAGAGCCCGCAGCTGGGAGCTGCCTGCTGGGAGCGGGGGTCCTGCGAGAGCTGGGGGCAGCTTCACCAGACCGGTTCAGTCGCAAACGCACCCTAAGCCAATGATGTAAGGAGCTGCAGGACCACGCGGGAGTCAGCTGTTGGCTCCAAGCCTCCCGGAGGGCCGCAGGCTGAGGGGCTGAGCGCAGCAAGCAGCGGGGGCGGCCCAGGAGCCCCCAGAGCCCGCTGCAGACGCGCCCCTCACAGTCGGCAAAGGGCTGTCACGGGCCTTTTCTAGTGTGAGCTCTAGAAGACTCCGCAAGGAAACAAGGGCCGCTAACCAGTATCCCTATTTTACAAACGAGGAAACTTGCCCCCCTGACCCCCCCACACCCCCGGTGCAGCTGTGCGTGCACCCCGCTGGCTGCCCCTCCGTGTGGGCGCTTCCAGAAACACAGAGGGAGCAAGGGCCTTCTGCTCAGAGACGCAAGAAGGGAGGTGGCTTGGGGACAGCAACAGCACCAGGCTGACGCCGCGTTCACCCTTGCAGGTCACCAGGGCCTGGCTGGAGGGCGCGCTGGGGCTGGGGGAACCCCGGACCTGGACTCTGTAGCCGACAACCACGGTGGGCGGCAGCCGTGGCAGGAAGAGGAGACCCAGGCGGAGGTACCGCTCCCAATGGCTCCCTCGGCTGGCTGGCCGTGTTGTTCTCCACTCCAAAGGGGATTCTCTCTCCCTTTACCATTTCCTGGGGGTGGGTGGGGGGGGTGGTCTCCAGAGACGAGAAGTCACGTGATCCTGCTGCCCACTGTCTCCCAAAGGGCCACCTGCCGGAACCATCACGTTGTCCTGGGCAAAGGGATTTCCCAGCCAGAGACTGTTGGGAAATGCTGCACTCTGCATTCTCCTTCCCAGAAGTCTCGGTGCTTGTTTGGGTGTGGAGTCCTTTGAAAGTTCTGGAACAGAATCGGCAGCTTGACACTGTGTGGCTGGGGCTTTCCAGGCTGACTTATCCCCACACGCTGCCCTGACCGTCCCGTATGGGCCGCTGTGGCCTCCTCCAGGGAAAAAGAGCTCTCGCCTTAAGTCGGGGAAAGCGCGGTTTGAATCGTGTTTCTCCCTAGTTGTAGTGAGCCTGCCCAAGACCCAGAACTGACTTGGAGCCTGTATTACCTTTTCTGTAAAAATTGAGCTGCTATCATAGACAAAGGGGCTTCAAAAGGCACATGGATTTCAAAGATAGCTTTGTCTTAGTGCCAAAAAAAAATCAATATCCATGCGTACGCATGTATCTCACAAGTTACTATGAAGACTAAACGAGTTAAAATGTAGAAATGCTTCTAAACTGTGAAGTGTGTTTGTTGTGTACGTGTGTGTACACAATAAGTTGTTCATGCAACAGACATCTAACCCCGCTGTCAATGAACTCACCTGACTGACAGGAAGGTCCTGTGCCAAGGAGAACCGGGAAGGGGGGAGGGAAACCATGCAGTGGATGGGGAGGCGGGGAGAAGCATTTTATGATGAATAACCACAGTGACACTAGCGCTTCATTTTGATTTAAAAAAAATTTTTTTGCAAGAAAGCACCCAGGTCAGGCATGGTTAAATGCCATTCTTTCTTGCATGAAGAATGAAATGCTCCATTGTCATAAATGCCATTAGAGGCCTTGCCATGGCAAGCTTGTTTGTCTTCTTCCCGGCCTGGGAAAGCAATCTCATCCCTGGAACCGCGGGGCTAGCCGAGGGGGCTGAGCGAGACGGCACCTGTGCGCTCCCTTGCTGACGCCCTGTTTAGGGCACTGTGTATCTGTCATTTCCAGGACACGTCGGGAGCGTTCAAGGAAAACCACAGTGAAACAGCGCAGCAGAGCTCCAGGAGGGTCTCCAGCCAGGCCCACACCCATCACTTCCGGCTCCCGAGCCATGCAGCCCCCGTTCCGTACTACGGAGGAGCCTTCCCCAAGGGGAAGGCCCTGCTCAGGGGTAAGGAGCCCGGCGCCTCACTCTGCTCTGGGGGCCCCCACATATGCAGAGTTCATCTGAGAAACCCTGGGGCGTGCTGAATGTCCCTTCCTCGGCTGCTCACCTTAGTAACAGAGTCCCGATGGACTTGGCAATGGCCCTGCTCCGTGCACCTTCTTCACCCCGACTGCCTGGGTTCACTTTCCAGCAGTGAGCTTGAGCAAACTCTCTGATTTTGTTGAAGTTCAATTTCCCTCTCTGTGGAGTGGGGTTAGTAATAATAATAATGCCCCCATAAAGCTGCCATGGGGATTGGTCCAAGTTAATGCCTATAAAAATACTTTGCATGATTCCCCGTAGATATCACTTAGTATATTAATTATGATTATCATTCTCCCCATCATCTGATTCAGCCAGCAAGAACCCAACCCAGATAATGAGACTGGGGCTCCCTGTGAACCTGCCGCGGTCACAGCCAACACTATCTCAGTGCCCCAAGCACTCCAAGCCTTTCTTTCCATCAACCAAAAAGTGATCAAAGTTGAATGTCCACCGTGTAACCCCATACCTGCCACTAAGACATCCTCATCCCCACCCTGTTTCTACAGACAAACAAGGACACGTGCAACTCCGCCAAGCCAGAAGCGGCCCCCTGTTCCAGGAGCCCCCTGCGGAAAAACGCCTTCTCCCTCCCATAGCATCTGCTGCTGGCTCAGAAAAGCACACCCCCGGGGAGGTGAAGAAGAAAAAGGTTGTGGTGAGTGTGCGAGTGTGTGTGATTTATCCCACTCCAGAAACAGGATGACTCAGTGAGATGTCTCAGCGGAGAACTGGCCTCTCTGGCTTCTAAGCTGTGCAGGCACGGCTGGGATAAAGCTGCAGTCAACTGCTAAATGTTGCAAATGGCAAAGAACTAGGGCTCCGGGCTGCCCCAGATTCCACCTTGAAGCCTATGTCATTATCACACTCTCTTGTGGCAACAGAATCCTTGCTCTGTTAAGGGCTAGGGTGATCTGTAAGCATGAAAGGTGCAGGGGCCCAAGGTCTTGAGCCATCTTCTATTGCCTTCCCAGGCCATAGCACAGAGCTGGATCGGAAGAGGAACAGCCAGAACTCAAACTGGCACCATGTGGGATGCTGGCACTGCAGACGGCAGCTTACCTGCTATGCCACAGTGCTAGCCCCCTCCCTTTCAACTCTACGTGGGTCTCTGGTAACTTGGAGACTTCAGTGATGAATGGAAACAGCAGCAGTTCTAGAATGTTCTGCCTCATAGCAGCAGTGGAAACACAAGCAGGTCTCTGGCACCCCTGAGCCGTGGTGTCCTTGTCCGTGTGTTCCAGCCATCATGCCAACCTCCTGGGACTGCTGGGAAGCTGAGACGACAGGATGCAGGTTTAGGAAAGCATCTATGTCTGATTGGGAGCTACAGCAGTGGCAATGGATTATGAGAATCCTCGTCATCCCAAGTGGCTCTGAAGGAGCCCCAGGCACTCCAGGAGGCCCTGGGTACCATTGCAGGAGGTTGCTTTCAGAGTGTTCAGCATTTTCCCAGATTTCTCGTATCTGCGCTGGTCTAAGCCTTCTCATTCGCACCAGAAAGGCCTGTTGCCTCCCTGGTTCCTTTGGACCGGGAGTAAACAGCAGGCTCCACCTGCCAGAACCATTGTGAGCCGAAAGCAAGGCCTCATGCTCACACCTGGGTCAGCCCAGAACTGAGCCAGGCTCACAGGAAAGGGGCCTCTTCCCTCCACCCATGGATGCTATACCAAGGAAAGCAATTAAAACTCCATGTCAATTTCTAATTAGAATCTAGAAATGAAATCTTGGCTTGTCAGCCATCCCTCACACAGATCATTTGAGTTTCTCATAGACTTCTGAAAGTGAACCTTGTCAGAGAAAACGCACAGGGTCTGCATTCAAGAGAGGTCAGCTGCTGGGCAGCTGGGACCCGGGCAGGGAAGCTCTCCAGGAACATAAAGATCCTATGTGCGTGCGTTTGCGTAGTCATTTTCTTAATGTCTCAAAATTCCAAATATGACCCTGCAAGTATTTGGCTGAATTTCCTTCCTTCAACTCTAAGCACAGAGGATGCTTGCGTCAGTTTCTGATCCCTTTTTTGTTTTTGAGCACTGGAAAAGTGGGAGAGGTTTTCATTTTTCCTCCAGTGAAACTGAGCTCTCTGAAACCCAGCACACATTCGCAGAGTCCTGTTCAGATGTTAAAAGCTGCAAACTAAAGAGAGAAATTCTCAGCAACTTCTAAATGATTAGTAACAGAAGGTATTACTAGCCCTAATATCTGCCTGCCTGCCTGCCTGTCTCTCTCTCTCTCTCTCTCTCTCTCTCTTTTTTTTTTTTTTTTTTTTTTTTTTTTTTTTTTTTTTTTTTTTTTTTGTGGGGACAGAAAAAAATCTTGGCCAAACCAGTTGCTGATCCTGACAGGCAGTGCTTCTGTTTCAGCTGTGTTCATGTAGCAGGTGTGGACAAGCTTCGCTTTTCTGGTAGTGGCTAGATTGGACATTAAACCAACAAGAGTCTACTTTCCAAGAAGTATCCCAGAAATAATCCGAGTACCAACATGATTGTCTTTACATATATGAATTCACTGACTCCTCTCGACAGCCTTAGGAGGCAGGCTTCTCGCTCACTCCTGTTTCCCAGAGGAAGGGATCGAGGCTTAGAGAGGGGAGCAAACATAAATCTGTCCACCTGTTGCCTGCCCCTTCTTACCTGAACAGGTGCACAGTCAAACAATGTTCTGCACTTGGCTCGTTGTCCCTTGACAGCAGAGGCTGCGATTTCTCCCTTTCAGGACACAGACATCCCAGCTGTGTCACTTCCCTCTGTCTCAGCTTCCCCGGTTGCAAGAGAAAGTCCCCCCACCCTCTCAGAGGCTCGCAGCTCCATCACGTTTGTAATGCTCAGAGACATCGGAGGCGCAAGTCCCGGAGGGCCGTGTGCCAGGCTCCCAGGAGACCAAGCAGCACCACCAAATATCCAGGCTCCCAATTTGCTAAGCTTTACTTCTCCCAGCAGCTCCTGGCTCTGGGGATACAATGAGACTCAATGCCATTTACTACTCGCAAGCAGCAGGCTTTGGGATACCTGCCATGTTGGTTTTGTGTTGAAATTCTCTCCAGGTGTCAAGAGTTTTGAAATTACCTCCTATCTCAGAAGACCCCCCCAGAGTCCCGGACCCCCTGAGGAGCCAGTTTAAAGTCCATGAGCCTCCGATAGAACTCTTAGTCTTCCCAATGGAGATTCACGTCCACACTCAACACCATCCGAAAGACAAAGCCGGAAGAAGAGGTGGGTCCCCCCTGCCCCGTGCCGTGGGTGTGCACTCCTGGGGGAACTTAGGCAGGCCAGGAAGTACTGAGGTTTGGGATCCTGCCAGTCCAAACCACTCCTGCGTCGTGGCTCTGACTTTCCCCAGGGTCCTTCTCTTGAGACAATTTTCCTAAAAGAAAGAAAATGGGTGGAATCTGGAAGTAGGTCTCTTTGGGTCATACCCACTTCCATTTTTTCAGATAGTGTTTGCACCTTTTGTTAAGCAGCAGAATTTGCTAAACTGCGGAAGAGAAAGGAAGACAGGCATAAATGAACCCCGTGCACCATAGGTACCAGAAAGGTGCAAGAATGCTCAGGTCGTCATGAACCAGCTTCCTACCAAAAATAAAGTAATTAATTAATTAATTAAATACAATGTAAAATGAGGCAACTAAAATTAAAATAAAAACTGGTTAAAAGGAGCAGAGGGGGGCCGGTGCTGTGGCGCAGCAGGTTAACGCCCTGGCCTGAAGTGCCTGCATCCCTTGTGGGTGCCTGTTCGAGACCCAGCTGCTCCACTTCCAGTCTGGCTCTCTGCTATGGCCTGGGAAAGCAGTGGAAGATGGCCCAAGTCCTTGGACCCCTGCATCCATGTGGGAGACCCGGAAGAAGCTCCTGGCTTCAGATCGGCACAGCTCCGGCCATTGTGGCCGACTGGGGAGTGAACCATTGAATGGAGGACCTGCCTCTCCTTCTCCTTCTCCCTCTCCCTCTCCCCCTCTCTCCTTCTCTCCCCCTCTCCCCCTCTCCCCCTCTCTTCTCTCTGTGTAACTCTGACTTTCAAATAAATAAATAAATCTTAAAAAAAATAAGAAGCAGCAGCAGAGGAGAAATGTTGACCAACATATGGGATAATTTCATTGCTTTAGGTAAGCAATGGATTTAGCTGAGTTTCCTGACAGCCAAGGTAAAAAGGATACTTGAATCTTTGCATCTTCATTTTATATTTTAATATTTACTTATTTATTTGAAAGTCTGAGTTACAGAGAGAGAGAGGGAGAAATGCAGAAAGAGATCTTCCTTCCACTGGTTCATTCCCCAGGAGCTTCATCCGGGTCTCCCGTGGGTGAGGCCCAAACACTTGGACCATCCTCTGCCTCTTTTCCTGAGCCGTTAGCAAGGAGCTGGATTGGAAGTGGAGCAGCCAGGACTCCAACCAGCCCCTGTGTGGGATGCCAGTATCACAAGAGGCTGGAGAGTTCTTCCTCCCCTTCCGTGTCAGGGAGGAAGCTTTCCTATTCAAGCCTCAGAAGTTCCATTCCAACTGTGGGAAGCAAAACACGTCAGCTGGCTGCAGGACCTGCGGGATCAGAGACGATCATCTGGGCAGTGCTTGATTGAGTCTCTCTGTTCTGTCAGCTTTCTCTCTCAAGCTGACTCTCACCATGTCGGTACTAAGATGTCTCCCATAATTCCATGCTAACCTCCTGCCCGTCCAGTAGAAGAGCAACGCCTCTTAAAAACTCTTGCAAAAGGACCCAAATTGCCTCTGCTTGGCCAGGCTGGGACCAATGACCCTGGCTACAGCAATGGGTGCTCTGGTCAGCCAGGCTTCAGGCACATGGCCATCCCTTCAAGGAATGGACCCAGCACTGCCATGTGGGATGGGTACCTCCTGAGACATCTTGCAAAAACCAAAGGCATCAGTGAAACGGAGCTTTCTCCTTGTCTCCTAGGTGCTCCAGGCTCAGAGTCAGAACCGGAAGCAGAAGTGGAGGCCAGGCCTTCGTGGAGGCCTCCCCCGAAGCAGGCCCTACAGAGGCCACGAGAGTTAACGGTTCATCTCCCAGTGGACACAGGCAGGGACACTCTCTCGCCTCAAGGTAGTGCCTCCCTCCCTCCCACAACCCGCAAGAATCTCACTGTGAAGCGAAGCCAGTCACAGCACACAAGGGTCATCAGCCAACAGCAAGGAGGCTGGAAGGGAGGTTGGTCCATCCCTAGCCACTTGAAGATGGCTATCACTCAGGCAGCCGCTGCCTTAGCCAAAGTGCTAGAGTAAAACTAACTAACTAACTAACTCTCTCTCTCATAAGTTACTCACTCACTAAACCATCCCCTACTGGTCTTTCCTGGCTGCAGGTGTCAAATGGCATCGACCTTACTAAAAATGTGCTGTATGCTCCATAGTTAATCCTACGTTTTTAAAGTACAACTCCATTCCTAGTCTGTTTGTGGGTATGTATTCATTGAGAAGTTCACAATAGTGGCAAAAGTCTTCCGTCCACCTCCCAAGGCATCGTGCAGGCATTTGAAATCATCCCAATCACACCCAGACGTGCATCCAAGCGTCTATTTTTATGCATCCGATCGGCTGGAAGTAATGGGCCACATTTAGAAAGCTTCCCATTCTCAGAAAACCGAGCCTCCTCTCCAGAAGTCACAGGACTGCAAACGAGACAGCAGGACCACAAGTGGCAAGCGAGCCCTGGCTCCGCGGATGCTCAGTGGCACGTGTGGCGTTCCTCCCCCAGGCCAGGCCCTGCTCTGCGGTTTCAACAAGCATCCTCTCGGCTATTCCTCACAACACCCTCATCCTCATTTCACAGAAAACCGAAGCCCGGAGACCGAAGCAGTCTGTTTGATGTCACACAATTCTAAATGGTCTTGCGGACACTGGAGTGCAGGCTTTGTATTGCCAGAGTCCATGCCCTTAGCCGTTACGCTGCACAGCCTTGTAGAATAAACAGACCAATAAACCCGGGTCAGGACGTTCTTGAGCTCTGTAGGTTTGGGGAATGCCCTTTGATTATTGGGGCACAGGCTAATTTAGTCTCTCTCTCAAGCGAGAGTTAATCCTCCTGATGGCTTTGAAGTTTCCTATTACAAAATCCAGATATGGCCAGGGATCACTCTGTGTGCAAGTAAGAAAGCCTCTTTCTTACCTCCGGACGACAGGTGCATAGCCAGAGTGGCCGAGTTAAATGCCAACACCCCAGAATGGCATCTTTCCTATGATTCACCTTGCCCAGCCCTGCACTTGTTTCCAGCTGCCAGGTCCACCCACCAAGGATTGAGGAGCTAGAGTTTGTCCTTCTGCCCCCATGCCAGGAGGACGCTGGCCTGAGAAGGTTCCAGAGACCTTCAGGTGAATTCACTCAGTACGCGACTACGTAGATGTGTAAAGATGTAGCATGCATAAAGGGATCCAAGGAGGCAAGCTTTTGGTGGCAGCCTTTTACACACACAGTCCCTGGTGCAAGGGTATTTGGAGCTGTAAGAGGGGCCGTTCCATCACCTCACAGTCTCTGCACTCCACTGGGCCCTGCCTTGGTGGGCACTCTGCCAGCTCCGACACTATCACTCCCCTTGGCATTGCCTTAGCAGGGCTGTGTGCAGTAGCTCTGCCCCTGCAAAGGATCTCTGCTGCTCCCCCACCCCTGCCCCAGCCAGGTTGTCTGAGGCATCCTTTGAAATAGAGATGCAGCGGGTTAACGCCCTGGTAGTAGAAGATGGCCCAAGTCCTTGGGCCTCTGCACCCATGTGGGAGATCCGGAAGAAGCTCCTGGCTCCTGGGTTCGGATCAGCACAGCTCCAGCCATTGCGGCCAACTGGGGAGTGAACCAGCAGATGGAAGACCTCTCTATCTCTACCTCTCTCTGTAACTCTGTTTCAAATAAATAAAATAAATCTTAAAGGCCAAGTGGATGACACCAAAGTCTGCCACCAGCTCAAGCTGCCCCAGGACCCACTTGGACCAGGGCTGCGGCAGCGTCAGGACTGCTTTGCCAGCAAACCAGAACCCAGAGGTGGCCCCATTGGTCTGGCATCTGATGAGGGAAGTGGCTGGCCAAAGGCGGGCAGGGGAAGAACCACTTGGGAAGGCAGGAAGCCCAGAGAGAAGCTGGATTGAACGTCACTTATATAACCAACCCTCTCACCAGAACTGTACTCCGAGGCATGCCCCCAGGACCTAAGGACCTCCCACAAGGCCCACTGCCCAGATGTAATCAGATCATGATCCATTGACATTAATACATTAATCATTGCCTTGACACTTTGGGGGCCAGGCTTTTATCACATAGACCTGTGGGGGACCCTTAAACTAATCTTGAAATCATAATAGACATTACCTAGCATTGCAGTGTAGATGGCCACAGAACTGCTCATCCCATTACTTCCCTGACCCCAGGCCACGTGACAAGGAGAGGGCAGTTGTCTGCTTTGGGGAAGAAAAGGCAGGTGGGTGCCTGCACACTGTATAGAAACTGGGGCTATCACATGGGGACCCGAGTGCCCCTCCAAACTTTGAGCCAGCACTGCTGTGATCCCGCCCATGCCTCAGCCAACACAGGTGCCCAAGGAAACCCTCTGGAACTCAAGGCCAGGGTTCCCACTACCCCAGCCACTAAGGACTTGGGCCATCTTCCACTGCTTTCCCAGGCCACAGCAGAGCTGGATCAGAAGGGGAGCAGCCAGAACTTGAGCCGGTGCCCAAAGACAGGAACAAAAGTGAAAAATGACAATGGGATTCTATCAAACTAAGAAGCTTCAGCAGGACAAAAGAAGCACACAACAGAATGAGGAGACAACTGGTAGAATGGGAGAAAATATTTGCAAACCATTCATCTGATGAAGGATTAATCCCCAGAATATATAGGAACTCAAAACACTCAGCAGTGACATCAATCCAGTTAGGAAATGGGTAGAAGAGCTGAATAGACATTTTGCAAAAGAAGACACACAAATGGCCGACAAAAATATGAAGAAATGCTCAATATCACTAGCATCAGGGAAACGCAGATCAAAACCACAATGAGATACCATTTCACTCCAGTTAAAATGACTACTACCAAAACGACAAAAAATAACTAATGCTAAGGAGGATGCAGAAAAAAGGAAACCCTTGTATGCTGTTGGTGGGAATGTAAATCAGTATGGCCATTTTGAGGAACCGTATGGAGAGTCCTCTAAAAAACAGATCTTCCATATGACCCAGCTCTTCCCCTTGGGTATAAATCCGAAAGAAACGAATTCAGCCAATCACTCCCAAGTTCATTGCTGTCCTAATCACAATGGCCAAGACATGGACTCAACCTAGGTGTCCACTGATGGTTGCGTGGACAAAGTAAATGTGGTATACACGCACAGTGGAACATTGTTCAGCTGTCAAAAAGCAAAAGACAAGAAACCCTGGCATTTGCAAATGGGACTGGAGGTCATTATGTTAAGTGAAATACAGCAGATGCATAAATACAGATATTGCATTTTCCCTCTCCCATGTGCAAGTAAACAAAGTCAGTTTGATCTTAGAATAGTGGTTTCTAGGCTAGGAAGAGCGGAGAGGGTGGGGCACAGGGAGGTTGGATAACCAGTCCAAGACACAATTACATACAAGGAATACGTTCTTGTGTTCCATAGCACAGTGAGTCAGTTATAGTTCACAACAATGTCTTATACACAGTATAAATAACTGAAAGACAGGAGCAAGAGGCTCCAAGCACAAAGAGAAGGAAATGAAAACAGTAATGCACAGATTTGATCAGCTTCCATTGTGTTGAAACATGGCACAGTATCTCAGGAAAATGTATACCGATTGCACGTTAATCATTTTTCATTAAAAGATGATGTCCATACTAATGTACACACTTCTTTTTCTTGTCATTATTCCCTAAACAATACAGTATAACAACTATTTATGTAGATTTTATATTGTACTCATATTAGGTATTATAAGTAGCCAGAAATAGTTTAAAGTATACAGAAGAATATACAGAAGTTGTATGCAAATAGTATACCACTTTCTAAAAGGGCCTTGGGCATGCATGGATTTGGGTGGTCCTGGAATCTGTGCTCCACAGATACTGGAAGGCAGGTGTGCTTTGGGTCTTGAGCAGGGAATATGATCATTGGCTCCGCCTGACTGGATGGCTTCGTGGTCAGTGAGCGCCCAGGCTGGGCTCTCCCTAGTCAGAGGTTTCAGCCTTTGCTGCCTCGCCAAGTCTGGCTTCCTCCCAGGACCCCATCCCTGGAAGATGAGACACCACCACCCACTGCTCTGTTTCTCCCGGCTCTTGGCGGTTCCCCAGAGGAACACTCACTCGCTGTTCTGGCCAAGGGCAGTTTCATCGTGACCACAGGAGCTATGCAGTCTCTGCCCCTTGGCAAGCCTGGAAGAGAGACAGACTTGAGAATGGGTGGGATGAACCATCCTAAACGCAGGAGCACCCCCCCACCCCCAGCTCTCAAAGAGCTGTGTTCTCCCTGCTGCTGATTCGGAAGTTTCTCACTCGTGTGTGTGCCCCTTTTGCTTTTAAAGATGACGCTGCTCCATCCCAGAATGTGACCCCACCAGTGGACATTCTACCCCTGGCTGACAGGACAAGAAGTCCAGAGAGCCAGGGGGGACTGGACAGCCCCAGGACATCTGGCCGGCGCAGCCCTCCGAGTCCCCCAGCTATGAGCCCGCTGCGGAGGGCACTGCCATCCAGACAAGGTAACCATCCCTGCGGTGCAAAGATGCCCCCCCCCCGCCCAGCCCACTGGCTTGGCTGTGGCTGCTTCCAGGGCTGTGTGGCAGCTGTGATGGGGTTTCCCATTGGAAAGGGGGACCCAGCAGCGTTTCCCACGGTGTTGGAGACCTGCGTGCTCACTGGAATCAGTGTGTGTTTTGAGGGTTCGCTGCAGCAACACACAGAGGCGTGTGATGACCCGGCTCCCTGTGCTCCCGAGGGGACAGGTGCTGCTGGGTTTACCAGGCCAACCCAGTGCAGAGCACAACCCTCCCCTGGGGCAGGGGTGTCTGTGACCCCACCCTCTTTCCAGGATACAGCCTGAGGCCCAGTTCACAGACAGGGGAGGACAAGGCCATGTCCTCTGTGACTTAGCCCCACTTAAGGAGGGGACTCAGCTGCTTACACAAGCTTCATTCATAGAGCAAGAGCCACTTAGAGTCCTGCTTATCAGTCCCTGCACACCCCCTCGGGCAGCACCACCTCACTGGAGACTCATTCTCAAGACAGCACGAGCCTCCCTGGGGCGCCCCAAATGAGGGAGATGGCGTTTGTTCGGGACGGATTGTGTAAAGAAGTGAGAAAGTCACACTTGGAGAGGAACCGAGAGCCGCCAGCAAGTCCACAGATAGCACAGCTTCCATCTCGAGCTCACTGCAGGCCGCAGCCACCCCCACCCCCACCCCCACCCCACACTGCAGGTAGAGTTGAACTCCTGTCCGCGTGAGCGGATCCCATGGATCAGTAACCCCGATCTGTGTTTGCAGATCCTCTGCTTAAGGCTGAGATGGTCAAAATCAAAATCAAAATCAAAAAATCCCCCTCCCTCCCTCCCCAATGATGTTGCTCCCACTTAGAAACCATTTCCGGGTTGGAAGCTTTCTCTCAGTTTCCCCCACTCTTTGCGCTCGAGTTGGTTCTGTGAGACGGGAACCAAGCCCGAGGTGCGGTCGCGTCAGCACCCACTTGTACAGCCCCGGGCACATCCCCCCACACACCCACACGGCTGCTCAGGGACGACCTGGGCAGAAACAATCCCATGAGAATAGACTGTCAGGGCCGCTGTGAAGAGAGGGCAGCTGAAGCCGCCAGCAGCTACGGTGGCTGTGTGCGTATGTGTAAGTGAATGTTGTGTGAGAGTACATGTGTCTCTGGGTGTGTGAGTGCATGTGTGTGCTTGTGAGTGTGCAGACACAGTAGGGGTGTGTGGCTGTGCATGTCTGTTTATGCACACAGGCCTGTGAATGAGTACATGTGTCATTGTGCATTGTTATGCATGTGACACGTGTGTGCACATGTGTGGTTGTGTGTGCTTATTTAACAGAGTGGACATGTATACATGTATATATTAAGTGTGTGTGCCTCTGTGTGGGTATACGTATTAAGGGTGGGTACCTTGGTGCTTTTATGGTAAGCATGTGTGTGTGTGTATACACAGAAACATCTACTCTAGTCTGTGGTCTGCCCCGCTCCCGGCTCCTGTGCCTTGGAGATGGGAAGGAGATTATGGTCTTTGTCTCTGGTTGTTCCTGTTGCAGAGCTAAGATCCTTGATGTTTTCAGAATGATGGCAAGGTCGTTTGTTATTCAAAGGGAGCACCTCTGATTGCAAAGCTTTTTTTTATAATTTTTATTTTAATTTATTTTTACTTATTTGAGAGGTGACTGACACAGAGAGAGAGAGAGAGAGAGAGAGAGAGATCTTCCATCTGCTGGCTCACTCTCCAAATGCCTCCAACAGTCAGGGCTAGACCAGGTCAAAGCCAGGAGCATGCAACTCAATCCAGGTCTCCTACGTGGGTCGCAGGAACCCAGCTACTTAAGCCATCCAGGTGTGCACTAGCAGGAAGCTGGAAGCAAAAGCAGAACCGGAGCCTGAACCCAGTCCCTTCCATATGGGATACAGGCATCCCAAGCAGCGTCTTAACCACTGTGCCGAACACCTTCCTCAACAACTGAGTTCTTGCCAATGGGTTGGACCCCTAGACAGCCCGGGGAGGGACCAGTTAGCAGAAAGACCCATCGAGTCAAGGATTCGAGGGTTGGAGCTCTCAGCCCTCTAGGAGAGGGGAGGGCAGGCTGGAGATCAAGCTTTATCACAACTCCCCACCGGAAGGGTTGTTGTACTCCTAAGGTACTGAACGCGAGGGGGTGCGGGCTGGGTGGCCCGCCCAGAGCGGGCCTGCGGGCTCTGCCCGGTGCCCCCACAGCCCTTTTCCTGTGCCTCTCGCCCACCTCCTGCTCATCTGTAATACTCTTTACAATAAGCTAGTCAGTGTGTTTCCCAAGATCTATGAGCCATCCTGGCAAATTATCAAGCCCAGGAAGGCCTTGCAGAACCCCGACTCATGAGCAGTCCGTGCAATGGACAGGTCACAGCCTGGGGCGCGCCACTGCCATCTGAAGTGGGGGTAGTGCTGTGAACTGAGGCCTTGCCCGGTGGCACCATCAGGGGCCACCAGTTGATGTCTGCTGGAGAATGGGTGGGGGGAGGAGTAGCTGGCACACCGCGGAGCCGGGGGGAGGGGGGAGGGGACGTGTTCCATGCTGAGTGTGAGAGCAGGACAACAAGGGAATGGTCTGCTTTTCCTTTTACAGGGAGGTCACACAAAGCCCTTCCGTCTGCACAAGTGACAGAGGAGAATACTGCGCCCTCCTCCTCCATGGCCCAAGCCCCTGCAGTCACTGGGCAGTGCCAGCATTTTGTCCCCACGGCACAGCTGGACCTGCTGCCCCCGGACAGCAGAGGCAGGAGTGGCCAGCGCCGTGGTCGGGTGCACACAGGTGCTCTCTCCAGCCTAGCCCTGTCCCTGAGGCACCCAGGGCAGTGCCAGTGCCTCCCTGCCCCTCCCACCCTGACCCACAGAGACAGGCTGTAGTCCGAGCTGTGGCCCTGCTCCTCGACATCCCCGGATGAGGGCTTCCCCTGTCCTCAGACGGCCCCTGAGCACACCAGCATCCAGGCCTCTGGCCTCAACCCCCTCCCTGCACGTCTGCTAATTCTGCCCGTGCCTGTGTTTCTTTTCAAGCGGATCCCAGAGAGCCCACACCGGGACGCTGCCCGCTGGGTCCGAGTGGAGGAAAACTCTGCCCGTGCCCGCCAGGGCCGACCGGAATCTCGGAGCTTCAGCCAGCGGAAGGTAAGACACTAGCACGTTCCAGGCCAGCCTTGCTCCCAGAGGGGAAGATTGTACCTGCAGCTCCCCAAGTTTCCGTGCATCAGAGACATCATTAAAAACAGATGCGAGGCGCCTGGTTCCTCCCTGTCTCCCGCCGGCACAGAGGTGCCTCTGTAGTTCAGACACAATCGCCCACTGTTTGCACAACAAGTTGCCTCTTGCTGGAGCATCTGGAGAGAGACGTTCCCCTGGAACGGCTGGGAAGAGGTCGACTCAGCCACGGCGATGCCTTGATGAGGATGATAAAGCCCTTTAGGTATTTGCCCAAACTAAACGCTGCCCTCCAGAGCTGGAGGTGGCTAATTGGTAGCCCCATCAGGTGCTCTTGTTCCGTGCGTCGGTTTGCTGTTGTGAATCATTCGGCTCCTGGCAGAAGCAAGGCAGTTTCCAAAAACCCTCCTGGCAGGTGAAGCTTTTTGGAAACGGGATGTTGGCTCTGGGCAACAGCCATTTTGCAAAGGGGGAAAAGGGATGAGGTCAGAGTGATGAGTGTCAACCACCCAGAAAGCAGCCTGACGTGTATACACGAGTCGGACGGCCAGCAGGCCCTTGAGGAGGGAAGATTAAAGGCTGCACTGATTTGGAAGGCGCTCTCATGGCGGGCTTAATAAACAGCGTGGATTCTGAGCCAGGAGCTTTGAGCAGCCCTGGCCTGTCCTCTGTGTGGTTAGAACCTGATCGCCCCTGTGTCTAAAGACCCTCATCTGAAAAGAGAGGAGTGACGCCCCTCCCCCCCCAACCACCACCACCACAGGGAAAGCTCTGACCACTGCTGCGTTCTGCGTCTTGTGTCTAACACTGTGCAAGAAGCCTCCTAGTGTACGGATTTCCAGAAAGTAGAATGCATTCGGTTCCATTTTCAGGGTCCAGGAACCCCCAGCACTGCTTGGGTTCTGCCACGATCAGAGTATAAAAATATCTCGGTTCCAAACTGGCAGAAGCAGGAGCTTGACAGGTGGAGGCATTGTCAGTGTGACACAGCTGGCGCAACAGCTGGAAAGCAAATGATTCTGGTCACCTGCTGCCCATCTGTCCACTGTGCTCCGGGAGAAATAGTCCCCCTTTTTATAAAGCAAGAGCCAGAAGCTTTAGAAAAGGAAATATTTAGGCTTTAAGATTGTGTCACCGTTATCAACATGACCTGATGCTTCACTCCCTTCAGTATCCATGGCACCTGTCACGGCCCTTGACGCATACACAGCAGGACCACAATGAATGGTCATTGAAAAATCTCTCAGTCGTTCCCATGCCAGACAGATAGACAGACAGACAGAAGCGAGTTATGAACCGTGTGGTGAATTAGTGGAGATTTGCCTGCCTTGTTTCCCCAGGCCCGTGGACAATTCATGCTGCCTGCCTCTCAAATCCGAAGGCATCCCTGTGTCCTTGCTGAGTGAGTGAGTGAGTCAGCCACTCAGTGAGCTGCTGGCCTCTGTCTAGCGTTTCCTCTTCGTACAGGCAGTTGACTTCCCATCTTGATGGTGATTGGATGGTGTCTTGGTGGGGCACGGAAGGATCTGAATCCCTCATCTCCCTATTCAGGGTCCATAGACCAGTCCAGCTTTCTAGGGGTCTCCATAACTGGGGAAGGGGTTGGGGTTTTAGGGAGGAGGTTGTTTTGGTTTGGTTTTCTCAGTGCACTGTCTCCTGGCAAGAAGGATTTCCTCCAAGCGGACACACTCTTTGCAGCCTGGTTTGAGCAAATCCATCTTTTTTTTTTTTTTTTTTTTTTTTTTTTTTGACAGGCAGAGTGGACAGTGAGAGAGAGAGACAGAGAGAAAGGTCTTCCTTTGCCGTTGGTTCACCCTCCAATGGCCGCCGCGGCCGGCGCGTTGCGGCCAGCGCACCGCGCTGATCCGATGGCAGGAGCCAGGAGCCAGGTGCTTTTCCTGGTCTCCCATGGGGTGCAGGGCCCAAGCACCTGGGCCATCCTCCACTGCACTCCCTGGCCACAGCAGAGGGCTGGCCTGGAAGAGGGGCAACCGGGACAGAATCCGGCGCCCCGACCGGAACTAGAACCCGGTGTGCCGGCGCCGCAAGGCGGAGGATTAGCCTAGTGAGCCGCGGCGCCGGCGAGCAAATCCATCTTGATCACCCTCTCTGCCTTCTCTCTCAGCCTCACCTCCCACTAGATTCAAGCTCACCTTCTCATCCATTCCCAGCCTGAACATTCACTCTGCACTCTTCTCTCTCTCCAAGTTGCCCTCGAATATTTAGAAGAGCTTTAAGTTCATCTTTTTTATATATGTAAAGATTTATTGTATTAGTTTGAAAGACAGAGTTACAGAGAGAGGTAGAGACAGAGAGACAGAGAAGTCTTCCATCCGCTGGTTCACTCCCCAAATGACCACAATGGCTGGAGCTGCGCCAATCCAAAGCCAGGAGCCAGGAGCTTCTTCTGGGTCTCCCACATGGATGCAGGGGCCCAAAGACTTGGGTCATCTTCTGCTGCTTTCCCAGGTGCCTTAGCAGGGAGCTGGATTGAAAGTGGAACAGCCGGGACTCAAACTGGCACTCATATAGGATGCCAGTGCTACAGGCCGGGGCTTTTACCCATCATGCCACATGCTGGCCCCTTCAGTTCATCTTTTCTGAGACATTTTCCTCAATAAATCCACCTCATCTCATACCACTGCCTAGATGGAGCCGCAACACAGTTCTCTTTCAGTGCCATGTTTGTGATTATTGCATTTATCTGCATCTGTTTTCTGTTTAGCTCCCAAATATATGCGTCCTAGAGAATCTCTTATCTTTATTGTATGTCTGAAAAATGCTTGTTGATTGACTGAATACCCCAGGTGCCACAGAGGAAAGTTCTTTGGGGAAGATAGTTGAGTTTTTTTTTAAAGCAAAAAAAAAAAAATTCCTAAGTGAAGAAGGGAATATGATCTGTCTGATCTTTCTGAGACTTTCAGACTCTGTCAACAACTATTTGGAAATAAATTCTTAGGCAATTAGATCATGCGACCTTGCTTTCAGACAGCATAGAGAAATGAATATAAACCTTCAGAAGAAGAAAAAAGATGTGATGATTGGAGCTGGAATTTGACTCTCTTGGTCATGTTGGGATATTGCAACACTTAGAAAATTCAAAGGCTTAAGAAAGGAAAAGTTAACTTGGAAGGATACAAGTCAAACCGTTGGATGTGTTCTCTGCATTGCTTCTCCTTGACTCAAACCCTCCGTCTATCCTCATAGTCAACAGTGCCAGCAATAGACAATTCTCTCTGAAGTGCTTTTACTCCAAAGTGTTCTCACTGCAGGACATTTAAGAAATCTGTGTCAGTGATTCATGCTGGATGGCAGGTTCCATGGAAGCCTAAGTTCCTGGTCCCTCTGAGATTCTAATTAGTATTCGTTCTTGTCCTAAATGGTTTTAATGCCCAAAGTGCTTCTTGATTTTTTTAGGGAGTCGGGGGGGGGGGTCATTTAATTAACATCTTTTCCTCTTGCAATTCTTTCTTGGTATGGTGGTTTCAAAATGTGTTCACAAATTCTTTCAAACATCTCCCTTCAAAAAGGAGAACCTGGGACAGACCGAGTGGTGAGGGTGCCCATGTCCCCCAGTGGAGTTCCTAGATTTGATCACTGGCTCCAGGTCCTCATGCCAGCTTCCTGCTGGTGTAGACCGTGGGAGGCAGTGATGATGGCTCAAGTAACTGAGTCTCTGTCGCTAGCGTAGGAGACCTGGATTGAGTTCCTGGCTCCTACCTTTGGCCCCAGTTGAGGGGCCACTGCATGCATTTGGGGAGTAAACTAATGGATAGAACTCTGTCTCTCAAATATATCTATATATAAATGGATAAATCTTTCTCTAAATATATATATATATATGCTTCATTTATTTTTTCTTTTTTTAAGATGTATTTATTTATTTGAAAGAGCAACATAGAGAAAGAGAGAGAGAGAGATGCTGGTAGCCCATATGGGTGCTGGTTCTAGTCCCAGATGTTCCACTTCTGATCCAGCTCCCTGCTGATCTGTCTGGGAGGGAAGCCCCAGCTATTGTGGCCATTTGGGGAGTGAACAACTGGATGAAAGATCTTTCTCTCTCTCTTCCTCCCTCTAGCCTCCCTCCCTCTCTCTCTAACTTAGCCTTTCAGAAAAATAAATAAAAATAAGTTTTTTAAAAAAGAGATCTCCCATCTGCTCTGCACTCCCCCCAAATCCCCATACCAGCAGGGCTGGGCCAGGCCAAAGCCAGGAGCCAGGAACTCCATCCAGATCTCCTTTGTGGGTGTTAAGACCTCAAGAACTTGAACCATCATCTGCTGCCTGCCAGGTGTATTAGCAGGAAGCTGGATCAGAAGTGAAGGATCTGGGACTCAAACCCACAGTTCAATATGGGACACAAGCATCCCAAGTGGTAGCTCATGGTGCCATGGTATCCACCCCTCTATGTGTGTGTGTGCGTGTGTGTGTGTGCGTGTGTGTGTACTTTAAGATTTATTTATTTTGCAAGAGTTAGAGGGAGAGACAGAGCAAGATCTTCTATCCCCTGGTTTACTCCCCAGATGGCTGCAACAGCCAGTGCTGGGCCAGGCTGAAGCTAAGAACCTCATCTGGTTTCCCACGTGGGTGCAGGGGCCCAAACACCTGGGCCATCCTCCACTGCTTTTCCCAGGCAGGGAGCTGGATTGGAAGTAGAGTAACCGAGACACAAACCAGCACCCATATGGGATGCCAGTGCTACACCACAATGCCAGTCCCATGCCCCTATATGTTTAATTGAAAAGGGAGGACCTAACACTCCTCCCCCCGAGTGTGAGCTGAACACATGGCTCACTTCTAATAAATATGGACAGGGACAGAGTAATGGTGTGTGACTTCTGATACTGGAACATAAAAGGCACTGTGGCTTCCCCCTTGCTGTCTCCCTCTCAGATCACGCACTCTGGGGAAACCTAACCACCATTTCTGTGGTGAGGCCACTCAGGCAACCTTATGGCAAGTGGTCCACG